CGCTGTTCACGGATGAAGAAGGCATGTTTGCATGTCATGTCCTGGCAGCTTCAGTATTGTCCAAATGGAAATGAGCCTCAGAAATTCCACAAAATGATCTCCCTGTGTTATCTTCCTCCTAGCCTATCACAGGACAGGCTAAGCCACATTCTTCAGTGATTAAAAGCATAATAGATGTGTAAAGCTCAAGATAATCTTAACTGTTACCATTGTCTAAATGTATTACCCAGCCAGAAGGCTATACTTTTGTCGTACTCAAGTTTTGTAAACATTTTGTATCTGATAGTCTCATTGAAATATAAGAACAAAATTTGAACAAAACATGAAATGTTTAAAAAGCACCTAACTAAAGTTTGCAATTGCATTTTTTTCAAGCATACATCCATTACATCATGGTTGTGTCTAAAGCTTCAGACATAGAAAGCCACCTGAAAACTTGCAAATTGTAAAGACTTCTATTTAAAAAAACATGCATCTTCAGTCACTTGAGAAGTCTTAAAAAAAAAGCCTTCTGCTCTCTGAGCACTGACACAGTCATACTTATTCTAAATTACATTTTTCATTGTATGGCAACTTAAAAATATCTGTAATAACTACAATCTTCTATGGTGAGGAAAATTGTGATTATTTTGATAGAAGACTAAGATTTAAAGTGTGACAGGTTTCCTTTAATGACATACAAATCTAAGCCTCATTTACCAGGATTGTGGTATACAGATAAATTACCAGTTTTAATCACTATTCGTATAAAAAAATTCAGGCACTGTCAGAATACTGGAGTTCGTAATCTCAGCTTTTGGAACCTCCTACATATCTGCACTAAATGGAGGATTCTGTTTCTGTCTAAATGACTGTGGTCAAAGCCAAGTTTTCGAAATCTGACCGAATCTATGATGAAATTCTGGAGTTTCCCAGATTGGCATCACATGCTCAAAATGATTTCTGTAGGGTTTTTTTTTTCTTTGCCATGGATGAAGGTCAGTGGTTCAGTGAAAAGATTAGCTTGTACAGGTTGCATGTGCCCCATCTGTAAATTAACTGAGGTAAAAATAATAAAATGTTTATCTCCTCTTGTACTACTTAAATTCATAGTCATTCCTTAATACTCAGCTAACAGAATTGTTCATGTATATGTTGGATATTTGGTTTATTTTGTTCAAATTTCCATTGGACTGAGGAAGAGAAAAAACCCACACAAGCAGTATCCTTCAAACCTCCACATTTATCTGAGGGTAAAAATGAGCATTTCTTTGCCTTAGTCCCTTGACTCCCCTAAGTTACTTTTTCTTGATTTGCAAAAGAACTGCATGTTGTTTTTATTAAAAAAACAACAACAACCCCCAAAAAAACAAACGCAAAAACTTCTGACAGGCAAGATTTTTCCATTACAGCTTTTAATCGGGCCTCACCCAAACTTTAAGATATTCATGCGCCTCAGCACGCTCCTATTATCTTTTGCTTAAGGAATTAAAAAAACTGACAGAGAGTGTTTGAAGAGCAGGAACTTCTCTTCTCTGGTAGACAGGGCCTAAAAAGGCTGAACACCTAATTTCATTGGTTAAATTATGAGTCTGCAGTTTGGTGTCATGAATATCCCCTGACTGTTTTAAACCACAATACCTCATTTCTCATACTGAGGATGCTGAAATGCTATGACTGTTCTGGTAGTCCTCAAAATTACATTAGAAAATATAAAGCTGATCTTTTACTTTAAAAATTTTCCTTGAGGAAAAAAAAGATACCAAAACCAAAAATGGAATATTTTGACAAAAAAGTCTCAACAAAAGCTCCCAGTCAGATTGAATTGAAACCCCACAATTTCATAATTCCCAAATCGGAATGATGTGTTTATTGGGTTCCATGCTGCTGTTCTGACCTCCTGCAAACCTTTGAAGGTAAATATCTTTCAAAGTTGTGGAGAGCTTCATTAGTCCTCTGGCACTCTATTCTCTTTCAATGTGGAAAATACCCTCCCTCCAACATGTGAAGAATTAGCAATCAGGAAATTGCTAATTTCAGCGAGACTCACTTTTACCTACATGAGGGATAATATGCCCCAAAATGCAAAGGGGGATGGGGCTCCACAGTATTTTACTACAAATGTCTGCCCACAATTATTTGTGGTCAAAAGTGAGTCTCTACAGCTATGTCCAGTTGCAGCATTTGGAATTAATGACATTCCCGTTTCAGACACAGCAACACCATGGTCTGACAGAACACGTTGTCTGTGAGGAACAAATAATGGTGGAACGCTTACTTTACTCCATGTTTCAGCATTAACTCCTCACTTAGAGAAGTTTATAAACTCAAATCTGCAGCTTTCATCCAGCTGTGCCTGGGGTGTTTTATCTGTGGATTTCAGCAGGCAGCACATCCACTGCAGATTCGGGAACTCTTCTTCAAAAAAGGGTTTCGTGTACGCGGGCACGGTGTGAGCTTTGTCCGGGCTCTGTGTCCCACATCTCTTGCTGTTGTTGGGGTGAGGTCTGCATTCTGCAGCTGGAGAGACAGATGGTCACATTGCCTTGACCACCACCATCAGAGTTGCTGGTCACATCTGGATTTCAAGTCAGTTAATATTCCTTACAGGAATCTTGGTTTTGCTAACAGGCACAGTTCATAGCACCTCTTATTAGAGACACCACATTTAGGATTGATTCAGGACTTAAATCATAGAATCATTTCAGTTGGAAAAAGCCTTTAAGAGCATTGACTCCAACCATTAACCCAACAGTGCCAAGTTACCACTAAACCATGTCCCTTAGCACCACATCTACACATCTTTTAAATACTTCCAGGGACAGCAACTCCACCAATGCAGCCTGTTTCAACGTTTGCTAACCCTTTGGGTGAAGAAATTTTTCCTAATATCCAATCTAAACCTACCCTGGTGCAACTTGAGGCCGTTTCCTCTTGTCCTATTGCCTGTTATTTGGGAGAAGAGACCAACCCCCCCCTTGCTACAACCTCCTTTCAGGTAGTTGTAGAGAGCGATAACGTTGATTAGATCATGTTTAACTTTGCCTTACAGCCAAAAGCCCCGTGTGAAATAAATTGTTTTAAATTTGTAAATGCAACTCATGTTAGCTTTTAGAATTCTTACCACCAATTTCAAATTAATATATTGCCAATTTAAAAGCTGAGCCGTAAAGTCACAGTTGAGTCTGGCTATGGCAATGGAGATCCCAATGTCTGGATTATAGATAAAGAAGGTTGCAGAATCAATACGTCCAATAAGAACTAAATCACACATCACTCTCTCTGATTTAAGCCACCAGTATAGGAGATACCAGCCTGTGGTAGAGTAGGAATATAAATTCACAAGACACAATCACAAAATTAAAAAGATGAATTAAAGACAGCCAAGCCTTGCCAGTAGTGAAGAACGGCCACTAACAACACTACTACGGAAAAAGCTGTCAAACTAGCTACTGTTCTTTGTGTCTGCTGTCTGCCAAGCTCAAGACTTTCCATGATCAGAGACAAGGTATTGCAAAGTAGAAAGGACACATAGAGGAGCAAGATAAAGGGTTAAGGGTTGCCAGGTGTGACTTTAAGGTATTTCATTCCTCTCCTCCAGCAGAGCAAAATCTATCTCAATAGACCCTGTTTGCCTAAAGATAACCCTGTATTTTCCCCATGGCTGAGCTGGAGTCTGAATAGAATACCCTGATTGTTTGCTTTCCTCAGTGAAATGGTGCCATTCCCTTTTGAAATATTTAGCAGTTCCAGGGGGTTTCTGCTTTGAATGTCTACCCCGCATATACTATTTTTTATCCAAATAACCAAAACCTTTTTTCAAATATTTCAAAATAAACAGCTCCATGGTCTGCAGGCATGAAATCAACAAGATTCTCCAAGATGTTTGGTAGGAGTACGGGTTGATTGTTAAGTTTTCTTTCTTTTACTTCTGTCCGCAAACAATATCCATAAATCCATTAGGATATGGGATTATCATTTAAGTAGATATATGATATGAGGTATATTTAATCCTAGGGGAAAAACAAGTTTTCAGTTGCAAACAGTCCCCATTTTGTAATTGAGCTTTTTTATTACGCATCTCGGAACATCCATGCCACCTTGAACTGTCTCCCAAAAGGCTAGCCCCATTCTTAAACATTATTAACTTCTTTATTACTTCTTGCAACTTAATAGAAACTAAGCAATTAAAACTTTAGATGCAGTCTTCAAATCCTACAGGAAGAAATCAGCTTTTCAAAACAATACGATAAAAGAATATCAATATTGTTTTGAAAGAGAATTAAATGACTGACTCTATTTTTTCTAAATATCTTACCCACAGCTGCCACTTATTGTATGGTTTCCAGTTCTAGCAGTGTTTAATATTAGATGTTGATAAAGCTGAATCCCACTAGTTCTGACGTAACAGGGATACGTGCATTGTTGCAACTCTGAAGTATGCATTTCACATTCATCTGTGTGATCATTCTCTCAAAACCAGAGTGCTGAATACAGCCAAATGTTGCCCATGCAGCTGCAAATGAGCCATAACTCCACTTTATTGTGAATCCCTGAATTTCCACGGGGAGTAAAATAATAATACTTTGAGGAATTAAAAATACTTTTTAGCTATTAATTTTAAACAGATTATTCTTTTTCATTTGATTATTATTGTCAATAACATTAGCCTTCCATTGCAGCAGGATCAGGGTACTTAGAAGAGTTTTAATAAGCCAGCATTGGGTGCTCACAAGGTTCCCTGATATATTCCCTCAAGTCACATAATACTTGATCAAAACACCCAAAAGTTTGCCTCTGGGTATAAAATAAAAGGAAACCCAGTGCATCTATTAACGTGCACTAATTAGCATGGCTGACTTCAGAGCTGTGTATCTAGTCTCTCAATCAGGCCTGGATACCTTTCTAAATAGGCTTTGTTCAGTAATTGCTTTGTGCAGATAAGAACTTCCAAGGCAGACTGAGCAGGATAGGCTGCTGCCTTCCGTGACCATCGTGGTCTGCCTATAACTATAATTTATTCATTTAGAAATCATGGCTTCATCCAGTGCACTAATTCTCAAGGAAACAACCCAGCCTGACATCCTGGGCTTTGAATCCAGACCCTTTTGAACATCAAATATTCCTACATTCTGAACAAAGACAAGGGAGTATAAAAACAGTTTTACAGCAGTTTATTCACACAAAGGTGATTTCAATACAAAAAGTAGTTCCAAGTATTCAAACCTTCCTATTGTCAGAACAAGCTGGAGGGTAAAAAACCAAACAGTCAGTATCAGGGACAACCAGACAGGTTAGAGAACAACTAGAAAAATGTAGATGTTCAAATAACTTTATCCAAAATAGAGAGGCTAGAGAGACAAAGCTTTCAGACAAAGGTTTCGTTTGCCTTTGCAGCACCCAAATCTACCATCGTAAGTGTTGGAGAAGCCATTTCTTTCCTTTTCTGGGGGGTGGGGGAGAAGCAGTGTAGATTTCCCTGCCATTTTCAGAGAATCCCGGCCTGCAAATGAAAAAGGAAGGAAGGAATTGCCCTCTGTTTTTCAACTCAAGTTAATATGGAAGTTGTTTGCCTGTTGGATACCCGCGTCCGACCGAAGCGCGGTGCAGGCAGGGCTGTGGAGGCAGCGTGGCTTCGGCCTGCCCAGGGAGCGGGGCTGTGCCGCCCGAGGACTCCTGCAGCCCCTCTGCCCCGGGCGCCCGTGTTGCTCAGGAAGCCTCATGCTGCTGAGGCGCTGCCGTCCCACCCATGCTGCCCTCCCAACCTCCCCACCCACTCGACACAACTAACCCTACTCTGTGTGCGCAGGTGTACGTGTGTGTATATGTGTGTGTGTGTGCGTGCATGCACGTGTCTGCATGCTTTTGGGGGCTGCTCTTTTCCTAATGAGAAAGGGCGCCCGTGTTGCTCAGGAAGCCTCATGCTGCTGAGGCGCTGCCGTCCCACCCATGCTGCCCTCCCAACCTCCCCACCCACTCGACACAACTAACCCTACTCTGTGTGCGCAGGTGTACGTGTGTGTATATGTGTGTGTGTGTGCGTGCATGCACGTGTCTGCATGCTTTTGGGGGCTGCTCTTTTCCTAATGAGAAACCTTTCTCCAAGGTGGTGCTGCCATCACTGAGATTGTCGGCTCCATAGAACCCCTGAGGGCTCCTTGGTCCCAGTGCGGATGGACAAGGAGGGGCAAACATGTCTAACTTCACCCTGTGTCCACAGCTGGGGGAACTGAGTGCCACACCAAACCCCACCACTCCACAGCTCCGGGGTTCCAACCATTCTGCCCAAAGCAGAGCCCTCTCAGCTGTTGTTTAAACAATCAACTGAAAACACAGTAAAAACTGATGCCTAGATTGTGACTGCTATATATTACCTCTTGTGTCTTCTTCTTTCTGTTTGCTGTGAAACCCATACATTGGTAAGAATGACTTTACATTGACTGCTAGAAGAAAGGTGCTCAGAAACCTCTGCTGACATAGGAGTAACGTACTCAGCACCAGTGCTGAATTCCCAGACATCTTTTATTCCTCTCAATCCCAGCCTTAAAGGTCATAGTGAGCACTCACCAATCCCTGTATACTACAGGAATTAGTGGATGAATCAAACACAGTAGATTTATTAATGGTCCATATCTCTGGTAATAAAAATGCAGTAGCATACAGAATGCATAAGCCAAAAGGGTAGGCCCTCAACTGAGAGAATTTGCTGAAGCTAAACTGACTTGGGGATGCTGAAGAATTTACCTCAGCTATTTTGTTACCTGGACAAAAACAGAATAGGTCCCACAGAGTGTCCGTTTCAACTCAGCAGCCACTTTGAGAAAACAGATGATCAACTGCAGTCCACTAAGAGCTATCAGAACAGAGAGTAAAATGATGTTCCATTCCACCACGTTGGCAGGTTCGGTGCACCGAGACCAAGTAGAGTAATCTGTGAGGTACCTATTAGGGAAACAGTAATATGAAGAAAATTAAATGTCATGGGTGCAATTCAGTTTCAATACACATTGCTTTACCTCTAATATATATAAAAACCATATTTGGCTTTATATGCTTCAAGCTCAGGAGCCAGGCTCCAGTCTTTCATTACACCATAACTCCAGCTTGGGTTCGTCAAACTCTGCTGAGTGAAAAGACTTATTTTCCTCAAATACATCGCTTCATTAGTTTCCCTGTTAGATACCCAAGTGTTAGAAAGCTGCTGCCGTTTTTTCAAATGGCAGGAGGCCAGCTTAAAACGGGAATTTTCCTTTTATTGATTTAATTTCAGCTGTAGGTTAAGTCCAGCTGACATCAGTACTGTGCAGAGAGCAGGAACACCCCAAGGCCATCGTTCTAACCAGGGCATGCAGCCTAAACATAGGGCTGAGGTGTCACCGCATGCAGTTCCCAGTTGTTCTCGAGCCATGCTTTGCATCCTTGAGGATCATAAAGTGAAAACCCATGTGCCCTTTTAACTGTGAGACGTGCTCTAGCCTGGAGGTTCACTGCAAGAACCTTTGTTAGACTAGCTTGCTCAGTGTCAGTTGCTTTTTTTCTAAACATTCATAACCAAAATGCTTTGAGCCAAATCTGGAGTGCATCACGCATCTGGCCCTTCACATTGAACTCAAGCTCTCATTCTTGTATTTCCAAATGGGATGGTAATGCTAGTGATACATCACAAAGGTTGCAGGATGCACTTCAGTGTTTTTCAATAAAGCTGAGTCAGGTCTGGGAAGGCCATGGTTTACGAATTGTTCCTGTTGGATGCTGAAGGAACGTGTTTGTGAGCCTCTGACAAACGTAATCCTTGGTGCATTCAAATGCAGCTGGAACAGCTTGGCATTATATGACATGAAATATTCAAGTCTAATAAAACTTTGATCTTTTAAAGGGAGAATGTAAAATCTTGCGAAAGCAGCCTCGGGTTACAGATCTGAATCAAACCTTTCATGCCTCTGGGAGACTGGGACTCGGACTACACTTTGTCTGCCCCAATTCAGTGTTTTATAAGATGCAGTAGTTGTATGCCAAAACTACCAGTGATCAAAACAGACTTCATTGAGCTTTAGGAGTTAAAGAGAAACCTACTGAGTTATTAAATATAAAAATGCCATCTATAATCTTTGGACCAACAACTTGAGGAATTCGAGAGAATATTCTGAGAGAAAGTATCCACCTACACTCACTCTGACCTTGTTATTCACTACACATACGATTGTGATCACCACCAGATGAAGGACACTTAGCTACATGGACCTCCAGGTCTGATCAGTACAAAGATTCTTACACCTAATCTTTCCATACAGGGAGGCAAATACTTTTCTTTGAGGATTCTGGTGCTCATTCAAGAAGTTGAAAAACATCATTCATCAATATAGCTCTTGTGTTCAAGAGACTGTGCCATTTTGTGTAAAACTCTGAGGAAATTTGTCTGACTATTGTTTTGTTGAACAGTTTCTTCCAGAAGAAAAAATTACATTGATGTTTCTTACCCTCCAGCAGTGTCTTTGAAGATATAATCCCATCCACCTGAGGAATTGCAGAAGGGGCCTTGGATCAACCCCAAAGTAAAAATGATGCAACTGTATCCAGAGAAAGCGACTCCAAGCAGGGCTAGTACAATTGAAATAAAACTCTGAAGTAAAGAGAGAAAAATGTTACTGTGTGGGGACAGAGTCCATAGCAAATACAGTCATTCAGCCTGCCTAGATACTTCTTTGGGGTTGGATTTCACATTTGATTGCCCCAAACTTCAATATTCAGAAAGAAAAATACCAGGTAAAGAACAGTAAGCATACACATACAAAATAAAGATTAAGACAGAATTTAAGACATTTTCCCAACTCTCAGTTAAATAGTGTTTGGGAATTTATTTTTAAAAAAAACTTGCATTTTTTCAAAATTGTTTCCCAAAAATGCTAGAGGAACACAACCATACATTAAACATGTTTGAGTTCCAGATAGTGTATATTGAGTTGTTATTGGAAAAAATAACTTCTAAATAATACAAGCAATTGAAAGTCTCCAGCCTCCTATGTTCTTATGTTATTTTACAAGGATTTTTTGTTTATTTTTTGTCCATCCTGCTTATGCATCAGAAGGAAGGAGCTACTCTTTCTGTGACCTCTCCACCCAGCCTACAGCTTCTCTGCGAAGGACGTGGAAACATCCGCAGAGCGGGAGGAGGATGCGCTGGAGACACGGGAGCAGGAAGGCGAGCAGAACACGCTAACGAGACGCACAAAAATAGAAGACAGGCTCACCCTGTAGGTTTTGTTACAGCTCTCACTCTGGCAGCACCGATGGAACACGCTACACTCCAGTGCTATTAGAATTACAGCCAACAGAAGGATCTGTAAGGGGACATTATAAGGTCAGGGAAGTGATGGCAGATATGAAGCCAAAGTCTCCTTCGCCCATGGAAGGGAGGGACTGCATCTGTTATGCTCTGTTGAGAGTTGAAAGCCGCTCAGCAGGAAAGCACAACTACTCAGGGTGCACCGTGGAACTGCACTGTTGGTATTAGGCTGACACTGTACTCATTTCTTGTATTTGAAGGAGTAGTGTCTCCCACCACAGCAAAGTGTTACTGGCACAGACACAGCTATACCAGGGAAAGAATGAAACCAAGTTCACAAGTAAAAGAATCAATACCAATGACAGGAAGGATATTTTATTGATATAACCACACCTGTTCAACAGCTTCTCACTGACCCAGTTACATGGATCAGGGAATCACCTTCCTTACCAACAGTTACGCTAGAAAAAGTCGGTAGTACAAGCTTTTCATTGAATTCACCTGGACTTTCATTTGCTTTCTCTGTCAAGTATCCATACTGTTTTTCTCAGATTATTGGATTATTTAAACCTGATATTAGAATCATTTCAATAAGTGAGATTTGGAACCACAAACTGCCTCTCAGAGGGGCACTGGTTTGAAAGGGGAAATATGAAAAGAGAATGTTTCTGAATCACAGCACTATCCTCTCACATGCTGCTGCCCTGTTTGTAACAGGATAATATATATGTTTTTAATAAACTGGTAATAATCCTAAGGCTAAAAATGCTTCAAAATATGAATGTCACTGTTGCAGTTAACTTTTTAATGAACTTTCAACTATGCCTTTCTGTTCATATTTTCTGCTTGGTAGTTTTTCCCTCCACTGGAAAAGACTAGGGTTTTTTTTTTCTGCTTTAGGAAGAATACACGATTTCAAAAGGATGTCTCATGTTTTAATAACTCTCCATTTTCAGCACCTTCATAAAAACACATTACGTATGCAGATGAGACCTTTTTAAGTGCTGATTGCGTGCATGCACTTTTATTACAAAACTGCTTTCTGTCCCTGAGGCTGCCATGAGCAGTGGGCAACTCTGTGTTCGTTTATAACTGCAGATGCGCATATTACAAATGTAATGGAGAAAATGCTACTATGCCAATCACAGCAAGACAATCTTCTGTATTGAGCCCAACAACAGTGGCACTCGATGCATTGTGAACTGTATCCAGTCCTCTGAACGCTGGATTGCATACAGCTCTTAAAAACATTGGAACAGTTATGAGAAGCTTTTTCAGTTTTTGTTTCATTTTGTTTTGGTAAAAGAGCTCAACTCAAACTTCATAGAGGATTAAATCAACATTGTGCCTGCCTACATAATACAAGCATAAATTACACATAATCAAAAAGCCAGCAGAAAAACCACCAATCAACCCTGCAAAATCACTTACATGAAATTAGATAGTATACATAGCATGTCATTCACTACATTCACTTATTTTTTCAGTTTGATAGAGTTTTTCTGCCTGCGGTATCTTTGCCAAAGTAATCCATATTCTCTTTAAAAGCACAATTACATTGCTGCACCAGTATTATTTGCAGTAGAATGCAATTCATTAGAAAGCCATAGAATCAACACTTACCATCACACCTGAGAAACAGATCCCTTCGAAATACCACACGTAGTTGGGAAGCTGATAGCTGGCAGCATGTGGAGCTCTCCCGTTAGGGAAGTATAATAGGATGTTGACAACAATACTCCAAAGTGCAAGCGGGATCAGCAGACAGCTCAAGCAGCTTCCACACGTCTCCAAAGCCATCTGGCCAGAACTTTACAGGTTTTGGTCTTCTAAAATAACAAAAGATTACAAGGTTTTAAATATGAAAAGTGTTTTGACCTCCTCAGTTTGATTCAGTCATTTCCTGTTCCCAGGAACTGGGTGACTGAGGAGTGATTACAGAGATCGGAGAGTGCTTAACAGTTAGCAGAACAATAGATGAGTATCACTGCCTAAGCTCATTGTCCTTTCTAAGCCTATGTCTTTAAGCAGCAGTTTCCCTTCTTAAAAGATCCTCCTCTGTGATCTTCCAAATGAAATATGTCTAGAAGTCCGGCTCAGGAAGGAACTTCCACAGCCTCATTTCCTCATGACTGCCTGGACCAGCGCGAGCAGGGCTGCGGTGCTGATGTGCTGCGACATGAGGTGGGTTGCTCAGCCTTACTGCACCGCAACCTTTTTTCTACCTTACACGGGTAAGGGTGTTGTCAAATGACAAATATGCCCAGTCTCTGTACAGAAGGCCTCACACTGCCTCACACTACAGATCATTAATGCCAGAGCCAGCAGACAGAGCCCCAAGGGTGAACCAGCACTTGCTGCTAACGTAGGGCAGCCCCACAAAACCACCAAGCTGAGTCTCAGCCACTTTGCAGAGAGCACAGAAGCCCAAATAACATTGGTTAGGAACTGCCAGGCAGACTTATTGTCACACGTCAATTAATTACTCTTTTCTGCAGCATTATGCAGCTGACCTGTTTCGTGACCTAAGTCCTGCTATTTCTCCAGCTGTTCTGCCCTGTGCTTACAGCTGAGCATGCACAACTACGGATCTGACCTACGTACACGTGACTTCTTGCACAGGAAAAAAGGTCTGGCTGTTTTTTGAAACGCCTGCTGTTTTGCACTGTGCAAAGCCAAAGCCGGACAGTTTCTCCGCTTCCATGTGTCATCATTCCCTAAGCCATGAACCACCCACCCCAGTAACACCCAGCCGGAGCTGTTTGGATGCTCTGAGCTCGGCCCAAGATGCCTTTCCGTTCCTCCATGAGTCACCAGAAAAGTAACTCAAGAATAAGCTCAGGGTTTACTCAATAGGAAAGTTGTAGTCAGAGAACAAAAAAATTGGGGCTGTATCAAAAGCGAGAAGGCTGATTTTAGAAGCAATGATGTCATGGCATATTTTCCTTCTGTTTCCTCATGCGCTGTTTTAGGCTCTGCACACACGAGGCCTCTCTCATGATTTTATAAAAGCTGTTCAGACTGCATGGTGTAACTAATTCCTTCCTATTGCTTCAAATGAGATCACCCAACGAAATGGGCATGGTGGTACTCATGCAATTACACGGTTTTTCCTACCCATTCTCTGCTGTGACTCTCCCCTGTTTCCCTCTCCCCTTCTTTTTCTAGGAGGTTTCATTTTGAAGTCCACAGACCTTACTCTGAGAATCTTCACGTATTTCCTGTTTTACTCCCTAATCGCTACAGACACTTTTTTCAGGCCTCCCTCTAACCGAAATCAGTGTCAAACCTCCCTTTGCAGGCTCACGGGCACAGACAGAGCTCACATCATCAGAGAAAACAGCTGAACCAAAAGCAGGCACATCACATCCCCAGGACTGAGTTTGTATTACAAAACTCAGAGATCATCTAACAGGCTGCAATATTTTTTTGGCAAAGGCCAAAATTGCTAGCAAGCAGCTTAGTTTACAATCAGATTTGCTGCTACCTCCCGTAGTAATCTGTTCTGATTAGAAGAAACTTACTTAGAAAATGACACCTGGAACAGCATTCATTTTGTAGTACAGCAATCTGCACGGTAACTTATTTTGTATTTAAATTGAACTCTGCAAATACCTAATCAAGGTGTGTTTTTTGCTGGCACGCTACACCGCTAGAACAAGAAACAACCATTTTATACTAAGTATTAAGCAAACCTGGCAACCAGTTTCTCAAATACCTTACCAAGTGTTGCAAGAACTGCTTTCCTGTTGCTGTCAATATTCACGAGTTGATGCCAAACCCATTACCGAAAAGCCATGTTTACTCTGGATGAGTGACTTCTCTGCCAACTAAAATAAATTTAACCTAAATGAACCATTTCTGCACAATATAACTGATAAAACTCCCCAAACGCTGTCTTATGCATCAGACAACAAAGGAGTTCAACTGGCCTTTATTAAATGACAACATAAACAGTGAGTAGTAATGCTATGCGTTAGTGTGACATGGATGCGAGATAAAGTTTTAGTTCTAAACTCTAGCCTAATCGTTCTGTCCATTGGAATTTCTAAAATTAAGTTGTTTAATTAGTTGTGTGTAGCAGAAAGACAAGTAACAATTATGTGAGGCAAAAATTCTGTAAATTGCGTGGAAATTATACCCTATTCCAGCGAGAGCCTCTTTTCCTCCCCTCTACACTTAATTTAAACTTGCAGATCCTTTTTCAAGCACAGCTTCTTCACATACAAAGACACCATAGTGCACAGCAGCAAAGAATTTTGTGTATGTATATGCATGTGCATATTCTCCTCCCTCCCATAGCAGGGCAAGACAGGGATAAACACAACAAGCAGAAATGGTATAGGCAGCCCTCAACTACTTCTATGTATTTATATGTGAATAAATGGTATCACAAGAAGCACATATCATTCTAAGATCAACCTTTTCCCATCTGTGCGTTCTCCTATGGCTGTGGATGTGCGTGTGCAATTTTGTTTTCACAGTTAATTTCTTTTTTTTCAGATATATATTTGTACTGGGCAGACTTTGCTGTGAGGATAGCCTGAGGTGCACCCCAAGTCTCTACCTACCTTAAAGACCACCCTCCTAGTTACAAATAGTACTAAGCACACATGGACGCCCGTGGGAAATTCTTTTTCTCCGATAAACAGAAACTAACTTGCCTGTTTTCCAAGACAGCATTAACTGCTAGATTCCAAAACTGAGCAATTACGGTAGTCAGCCTCATTTCTTTGAAATAAATGGCATGCCACATTTTGTTTTTCACTTGAAAAATGCCATTGCCAGCAGCATACTGACCTTGCCAGCAGTGCTGTTGGCAGCATATCGTTCAGATTTACTTTACCTGGTAAAACATTCACTGTAATATGCTACAAGCCACACTTCAGAGGTTCTTGCACAGGATCTTGCACAGAATAGTGCCTCCAGAGCGCTTACCAGTGAAGTCAAATATTTCAGATCAATCTATCACTGCTGACCTGAATCTGCACTATATTTTCTGAATGCTGCTGCGTGTGGGGCTCTGCTGAGTGAGGTAAAAAACAGGACGCAGACCCATGTTTCATTCTGTCTCAAGACTCCAAGCAGTCGGGAGGAAAGCCCTCCTGCGGGGGAGAGCTGGGGCTCAGCGGCGTGGGAGCCTCCTGCCGGCCCTCGGGTCGGCCGCCAGCAGCGACCTGCTAGCCCAGAGCCAGGAGGAGGACTCCACACGCGGCGTTGTATCTGTCACAGAGCTGTCCTTGAACTGTCACATCCTTGCTGGTGCACAGCTGCCTGGCTGAGGTAAGTGATCTAAACCAAACAGTGAAGCAGTTCCCACTCCCACAGAACCTGCTGGGGAGGGAAAGTATGTTATAATCCGAATGCTTTCTGTCAGTGTTCTCATGCCACACCATCCTTGACTCCAAGACCAGGAAAGTGGTGTTTCAGCACGGACAGGGAAGGATTCACTGACACCTGCTGGGTATTTTTAATACAAATCTTTATTTGTGAAATACAGAAGTTCAGAAAAACGCTGAAAAGGTGAAGCGCATCTATCTGCCCTCGACCATCCACATTTTTCTGCTGCTTTGTTTTTGTTCCAACTGAGTATTTGTTTATATCCAGGCCAGACTAGATTGGGTTTGTCTTCATTCCAGTATAAGAATGAAAGTGCAACTTTATTCGGAAAGCAGCATAAATTACAGAGCTGTTGTGTCAGTAGAAAGAAAAAAAAAAAAAAAAAAAGCATTTTTAGTGACGTGTTCAGTCAGTTGCCTGTACTAAGATGAGATGAACTAAAGAAATTCAGGATACGCTTTGCCTCTAGCTACAGGCAGGTTGGTGGAAAACCTGCATATGACTCCAACAACAAAGGCTGGTCCCAAGTCAGTTAAATTGATGGCAACAGCACAGTTTGACAACAAACAATGTGCATTTTAGTATGCATGGAATATAAAAAAAACAACAAACCACAGAATACTCAATACACCACACACATGCGCAGACATCAATGCATAGTCAGGTTTCTAGCAAGCATATGTCTGTGGAGGGAACAAAAAGAAAGAAACAAATATTAAGGGGAAGAATGCTAATATTATATCCAACTACAGGAGCTAAAATTAACCTGACCGCATTTAGACAACAATAGCATGGCTCTTTTGTACTGCAGTTACAGCATGGACGACAGGAGTGAGAAGAGACGAATAGCTTTGAAAGAGCCCCAACATTCAGCTATGTCAATTTAAAACCTGAAACATTATTAACCATAATAAGTGTGTGATATAAACCGTATCTGGTTCATACCTTAACCCATTGCAATTCCAAGACTACCACTACGATACTGATTTTAACAACATGCTCAAACTGTTTAACAAGACTCTAAAGAAATTTGGAGGAAATTCTCCTTCCTCACTCAAAAAAAAACCCACCTTCAAAAAACTCTTTGGATCTGTCTCCAGGTTTTGTTAGCTATGTGCAATTTAATTCCTTATCTTATCCTGCTTTTATTAAGCAAAGCCAGGGTGCTGCAGTTTTCATTAAATAGGGTGTATTCTCAGCAGTCTATCAGCTGCTGTGAGCAAAATACAAGGGTAAATCAATATAGTTAGAACAAGCAGCCTACCAGAAAACTGCACCACACTACACAAGAATGGTTTAGGCCATGGCAAAGACCACCACCACCGGGAGATTTGTATTTCAGTTATATGACCTATATAGTGCTGACAACCACATGTGCCAGAGGGGAGAAAAAGCCTTCAGCTCCTGTGCAGACTAACTTCACTGTGACAGCTGAGGGACCAGCTGAAAGGACGTGGTCA